ATTAGTAACTTAAACTAAAAGGTTAAGAAAAGTCAATGGATTTCGACAGCATCTACAGAACTGATGTTAGGAAATCCACCCCATCTGGCTCTGAACACGACGAGTGGAAGCAGTTTAAGTGTAGGCTGATGGAAAGCCCACGTAATGATCGTGAAGAGGGGTAGGTAGCGAAAGCAAGAGAGATGGAAAAGGGAGAAGCGACAGGTAACAACAGACAACTGTTCAGATTTATAAAGAAAACGAGTACTGAAATTCCTGGCTGTTAGTGAAACTATCTTGGAAAAGACAGAACTAATATTCACTCCCAGTTCAGGAGATCGGACCGATGGGCTGAGCACTTTGAGGAAACGTTAGACTGGCCTTCAGCCACACTTCAATTATCCACTATTTCCAAGCAACCTGAATGGAAAACTGATGTAAGTCCTTCAGCTCATAGTGAGGTTGAATAAACTATAAGTAATCTAGGGCGAGGGAGAGCATCAGAGGCTGATAGACTAACCCCTAAGATTTTTAAGGACAGTGGTCCAGTGTCAGCAGTTAGATTAACTAAAATTTTGTGGAAATTCCCATTTTGCCATTTGGTAAATAAAGAAGGAACGAATTGAGCGAAGAAATTTCTTTTCAATTAGTTTTTCATCATGGCTCTACACTAATATATATTACAATAATAATATAATACTCATCGAGTGGATACGTTACGTAATAATTACATAATGACATTTAAATTAACATTGAGTAATTGGAAGAAAGAGGATTATTGATATTCAAAGTAATCAAGGAGTTGCTATGTTGCGTAATATAAGAAACAAAGAAGGAACAGAATTTTAACGGATGGTCAATAGCATAGTAGTTACGTAAGAATCAAGAGATGAATGTTGAGAAGTTATAAGGTTCAAAAGCAATAGAAACAAAATTACAAAAATTTAAAGAAAAAAGAAGTGGAGGAAGTATGAAAAATAGTTCTTATGACGGAAATTTTATACTAAAGGCCAGGGCAGAGAAAGTGGTTGTACGAATTTCTTTTGGATACAAAGGTCAGGTTTGTGAACATGGATTGCGATGGCTTCCACAATGTGCGAAAGGCGCACTCGTAAACCATGTGGTATATTTGATGGAATATTGCAGATAACCTTAAAAGCTTTATTCAATTCGACTTGATGACCTGTGTCAACCAAGTGAGGGAGAATATAACTTTTAATTACTTTCACCTGTCCTTTGCTTAGCCATGTCGGATGATGTTCTGTAATGCGGTGACGGACCTGACGAATTGTACGCCCTATGTAACTGGCTCCACAGGAGCAGTTGAAACGATAGATACACATAGATTTGGCGAATTCTGTCAGTCTGTCTTTAATGGATGTTCTTATTTTCGGGTGGTTGTAGAAGATGACATTTAATTTGGCAGCATTAAACGTTTGTTGTACAGCTCTTCGTAGTTTCTGAGTCATGACTTCTTCAATGGTGTCATTTATGAATTGTAGTTTTATAAAAAATACCTTCTTGGAGACGATGGGTATTTTTGTCCTTGTTTTCTACGTCATATGTTTGTCGATGAATTTCATGGGGTGCCCATTCAGACTGAGTAGGTTCTGAATATTGTTCAATTCTTCTTCAATGGTGTCTTCAGAGCAGATCATTCTAGCACGATGTATCAAGATCTTTATCAAGTTCCTTTTGTATCTGACTGGAACTGCACTGTGGAAATGAGTGTATTGACCTGCTGCTGACTTTCTGTGTACCCTTCTTTTTATAGTTCCATCTGTTCTTCTAGTTAGTTGGACGTCTAGAAAAGATATGCTATTATTCTGTTCATCTTCTGATGTAAAGTTAATTGATGGATGAACGTTATTAAAGATATTAAGTAAATTGTGCTTATCATTTTCTTTTTCTAATACTATGAAGGTATCATCTATATAGCGACAATAAGTGGGTAAATGGGTAAGTGTACTTTAAAGTGGTCGATTTACTTAATATATTTAATAACGTTCATCCATCAATTAACTTTACATCAGAAGATGAACAGAATAATAGCATATCTTTTCTAGACGTCCAACTAACTAGAAGAACAGATGGAACTATAAAAAGAAGGGTACACAGAAAGTCAGCAGCAGGTCAATACACTCATTTCCACAGTGCAGTTCCAGTCAGATACAAAAGGAACTTGATAAAGATCTTGATACATCGTGCTAGAATGATCTGCTCTGAAGACACCATTGAAGAAGAATTGAACAATATTCAGAACCTACTCAGTCTGAATGGGCACCCCATGAAATTCATCGACAAACATATGACGTAGAAAACAAGGACAAAAATACCCATCGTCTCCAAGAAGGTATTTTTTATAAAACTACAATTCATAAATGACACCATTGAAGAAGTCATGACTCAGAAACTACGAAGAGCTGTACAACAAACGTTTAATGCTGCCAAATTAAATGTCATCTTCTACAACCACCCGAAAATAAGAACATCCATTAAAGACAGACTGACAGAATTCGCCAAATCTATGTGTATCTATCGTTTCAACTGCTCCTGTGGAGCCAGTTACATAGGGCGTACAATTCGTCAGGTCCGTCACCGCATTACAGAACATCATCCGACATGGCTAAGCAAAGGACAGGTGAAAGTAATTAAAAGTTATATTCTCCCTCACTTGGTTGACACAGGTCATCAAGTCGAATTGAATAAAGCTTTTAAGGTTATCTGCAATATTCCATCAAATATACCACATGGTTTACGAGTGCGCCTTTCGCACATTGTGGAAGCCATCGCAATCCATGTTCACAAACCTGACCTTTGTATCCAAAAGAAATTCGTACAACCACTTTCTCTGCCCTGGCCTTTAGTATAAAATTTCCGTCATAAGAACTATTTTTCATACTTCCTCCACTTCTTTTTTCTTTAAATTTTTGTAATTTTGTTTCTATTGCTTTTGAACCTTATAACTTCTCAACATTCATCTCTTGATTCTTACGTAACTACTATGCTATTGACCATCCGTTAAAATTCTGTTCCTTCTTTGTTTCTTATATTACGCAACATAGCAACTCCTTGATTACTTTGAATATCAATAATCCTCTTTCTTCCAATTACTCAATGTTAATTTAAATGTCATTATGTAATTATTACGCAACGTATCCACTCGATGAGTATTATATTATTATTGTAATATATATTAGTGTAGAGCCATGATGAAAAACTAATTGAAAAGAAATTTCTTCGCTCAATTCGTTCCTTCTTTATTAAAAAAATTTTTGACTGAAATCTTGGAACTGGATGTAATCTCATCAGACTGGTCTCAACCGCTGACAGTCCCGGTTTATAAGAATATAAGAAAGGACAAAAATCCTTTAGTTACAATCAGAGAATCAGTTTAAACAATATAGTGTCTAATATACTTGTCTCAATAACACCTCTAAGTCTAACTAGAGCTCGTGAAGAGCAAATCCGAGGAAACTAAGCTGCTTTCAGATATAGACGTGGATGTATAGACCAAGTATTCACCTTTCGATAGGTGCTAGAACATGAATATGCTTTTCGATGCCCGACTATAGCTGTATTCCTTGATCTAAAGGTGGCGTTCAACTCTATTGATCGTTAGGTTCCGTGGAAGTTTCTGTTATTCAAAGGCATACGAAACTAGTGCATCAACCTCATACAGACTCTCTACTCGAACATGACTGGTAGAATCAGAGCTAATGCAAGTGTCATTAGAATCGCTCACTCCAAGTGGTGTTTGTCAGAATTATCCGCTTTCCCAATTTTTATTCAACTTTGTGATAGACATGCTTTCACAGATGTGAAACATGGTCATTACAAATAGAAGACATTTGTAGGTTATTTGTATTCGATCATAGGCATCTACGAAGCATTCCTCGTGTAGTTTGGGATCACAAAGTAAGCAATTTCTGGAACACGAACGGGTTACTAAGTATAGATGGCAAAGCGATTGATGTGGTAAAGAATTTTCACCAACTGAGGACATCTGAAACATGTGTTACGTGTGCCTAACCACTGTCTGCATTGACAGGCGATATTTTCTGGTACAAGAGTAGACTGGAACAAAGGTCGAGGTGGTCAAACCAAAACACGACATCACCTATGAAACCACCGACAACTGGATTGAGTTATGTTCATAAGTGTAGACAACCTGGTTGTGTCCGCGCGATTATTGTAACCAGTGACTAGAGACTCTAGATGATATGGCCCAAAATCGTGAGCATTGAAGCAGGTGCATCCATTCTTTGTCTTACTTCAAATCCTAAGATTCCGAATTCCTCATACCCTCTTTTTGTTCTCATTTAGATAATTTATCTTCTCTTCCCAGATAGTATCTTTGATGCATGGCCTTTCCTATTACTACTCATGTTATCTCTAGTATTCTGGGATTTAGTGTGACAATCTCATTCCTCTGTACTAATAGGGTATGGCAACTTGAACCGATGTACATACGTACCAGGTTCTACGTTGTAACTGACTGACTGAATACTAGGGTGCAAAAACCTATATTTGAATGTAATGAGGATCACATCTCATGTCATTCGATTAGCTTATGCAATGCCTATTGTTTAACAATCTTGGTTTTTGAAAATGTATAGTTCATAAGTATTATAGATTCACTGGATGGATTATAATTGCATTTTACTATTACACGTTAGTTCGCAACACCAATCATTTCGGCTTTGCTACTGTCACGTTTTTGAGTGATACTACTCGGTAACATGTTGTAATAATCACCTCTTGTACCGCAAATTAAATGAAATAAATTCTAGTATTTGATTTGTACCAGTTGTGTCCTAGCCAACCAAACTATTCAGTAACCATGGTTTACTCGGTTTCTATTAGTGAAAATCGATTGAAATTAATAATCTCATGAGATACACAAAAACATGACGACTACCTACAAAGCTCTTTTTTGTGCTGGTGTAATAAATTGGCTTACATAAAGATCATTAAAGTTTTATAAATTAAATATGCATATACATAACCTTTTTACTTACTGGTCATTAAACATATCCCAATTACGGCTAGAGGAAGAGATTTTATTAGCATAAGATACATCTGAAGGTATGAGTCCGGTTTTCATCTCAGTACAATGACAGCCATTTACTCTGTCAGGAGATTTTGGATTGATATTTTGTTCTTTTGATTTGCTCGTATTTACGGTATTTACAACATTTTGTTCACATGTAGGAATGTATGTTTTTGAGTGATCAGAAGCATTCAAAGTCCTTTTAATATCCATGATATCGTTTGAAATATCTCGCACTATGGCAGGGTTTAGCAAATGCTCTCCATCGAGACTCCCAGAACTTGAATTAATGGTAGGTCTCCCACAGTAAATGTCTGTGACTGAATCAGGGCTACCAGAAAACGAGCGCATATCGAATGAACAGTCTTTCACGTGAGATCTTGAAATAAGACACGGGCTACCTGAGTCACTGCCACTTGAGAGACCATCTTCTACAGTAGGCATTGTTACAGTGATATGTTTTGGCTGTAACGTACTTTGCTGCATCACATCCGAGGACCGAACACAAACACTATCCTTTTCCGTTAGAAAACTAGACGTCATTGGGACATAATTGCTTTCTGAACGGACAGTCGCGAACTTTTTTCCAGAAAAAGGGGACAATAGAACCAACTGTTTCGAGATATCCGATACATCAAAATTCACTCTGTTTTCGTCATTGGAACTCAAAGGAATGTCGGACAACTCGTGTTCTGAAAAACATGTCACCGAATCACAAGATCCTCTTGCTTCGTTGTTTTGAGAGCTAGCCACATTTTCCTTTATTGTGCTGTCTGTTAATTCACGAATATGAGTGACAGAAAAACACTCTTTATGGCATAATCCTGTGTAATCTGTATCTGTTCCATGGCCTCCATTCATATTATTTGAAGTGCCGCTGGAAGATATATTATCCACATTTGTCTTGAGTATACATCGTTTGGGTCCGTCATATAAAATCTCAGATGTGAAAAGAGATGGTAAACCATAGATAAGTGTCGTCGGACTATCACCGCTAGAATTTGTACTCGGAACATTTTTTTCTATATTTTGTGATTCCATTCTAATGAGTGACATGTTTATTTGACAACTAACGGACAGTGCAGATTAACTCCTTGCATCGCGAACTTTTAATATCCCCGCCTATTCCTAAAACTCAAACGTTCTAGTCAGAAATATGGAATGGTGTTTCTTATGTTCGGAATGTAAGCCGCAACATGTCCTTTTGAATCAGTATATTTCTGATTATGCTTACTTGTGAGTTATCCCAGTCCTTTTGGATGTATTCAATTCTGCTCTGCTGATTTTTTCGTGTTTAAAAAGCGTAGTATCCCATGTACTGTATCATATTTGGTTGCATCACTTGCTGATTTGACTGTCCTGAGCTCCTGTGACGAGCAACAGTGTCGCTAACGCTGAATATCTCCACAGAAGGCAACTTTGCTTCTTACGGGTTTTTATAGCTACTGCAAAGGAGGTTTATGAAACAAGCTTCTGAAAGCTTAAAAGCCACTCGTGAGGAAACAACTTTGAAGTAATAGGCATCTGTGATTGTAGGTTTTGCGTAGTGAAATAGCTACAGTAGTTTCTCTACGTTTCTCTGAGAGCTTCCCGCTTTATAAATGCCTAGGAAGTGCGAAGCATCCACCCAAGAAGTATTCGATGTCTACACCGGGGGATAGAAGAACTCGAAGGTAGATATGTGAAATGTTCCGTTAGTTTCGTATGCTGATTATAAGCCCCTTGCCCCAACATTATGTGGAGAGTTATTTAATCGTTCAGTCGGATGCAGTATGTTCTTTAATCAGCAGTGCTCTAGTTACTTATGATGTTTGCCTTCATGGTGCCTACAATGTACGTCTGAACGCATCCAACGGCACATTGATGGCTGTTAAGAGAAAAATAACTTTATGATAGGCTGTGGACCAATCAACTTACATGGAAGATAGATTGGGTGTTCAGAATCTATCTTCGGACGTGGTTTTAGGTACAGACTTGTTAACGAATTGTGAGGGATGCTTAAACTTAAAGGCGAAGGTATTTGCCTTTCGGAATTTATCTTGGAAACTGGGTTGTTATAGATAGAAAGAAGCTTCTAATCTTAAGATGATGATTAATGTTAACCGAATGGAAACAAATGATATCTCATCCTTACTTGTGGATTGACCTTTGGAGCATGTGGAATTAATAAAAGAAATTTTAAAACGTTTTATGACATATTTGCTTGATAGTGAAAAGATATCGGGCTCAGGATGGTTGTGGTACTGGAAGTGCAAAACCATGTAGCCAAGCACTTCATTGTGTATCTGTACAAATTAAAGAAGCTCTTGATGATATGATAAACGGCTTGTTAGCACGTAACATAATCACACCGTCCATATCACCTTGTGCAGCCTCATCTGTGTTGGCGAAAAAGAAGAACGAAGTTTCGAGACTGTGCGTCGTCTACCGAAAACTTATTGAAATCGAAAAATGTGGTTAATCCCTTATTGCCATGCGTAAGCGATACCTTAGATACACTGGGTGGTTTGAAAGCGGTTCGCAACACCAGATTTAACATTTGATTATTGGAAAGTTGAATCTCATCCAGGTGACCAACATATAACGGCTCTTACCTTATTATCTAGTATATATGAGTTTCAAACAATACCGTTTGTATTAACTGGTTCACATTCTGCTTTCCAATGGTTAATTCTTACAAAGCCGGCTGGTTTGGTGTATTTATGTGATGTTATGGTACACAAAACAACCATTAAAGGCTACATAAAATTTTCAAATAGTTTTAGACTGCCTTGAGAAGTTGGTTTAAAAGTAAAACCATTTAAATATCACCTGCTGAGGATGCAAGTTAAATTCCTCATTCATTTCGTTGATAATCAAGAACACACTCAAATAGCAAAAAATCGATGCCGTCCGAAACTAAGTTGTTTCACAAAATTCAAATGAACTTCGCAGCTCCCTGGGTTCAGCAACTTATTATAGATTTGTTCAAATGTTTCCTGAGAATCCACCCTTCCTTTCCACCTTACTTAGAGAGGACTGAAAATGGACCGAAAATTGACAACAATCATTCGATTTTCTAGACTTTCCTCCTACTTTAGAGATCACGAAGAGCCAATCGCCAAGTGGAAAGAGTGTTTACAAGAACATGACTACGAGTGCATCTATTAGCCCACTAAACAGCATTAAAAATTGGACATTTAAGCATGCAGATCAGCTAAACCTCATGAAAACTGTGCTTCAACAACGAATATAACAGAGTTGAAAACTACAGAAATTATTGAATGGGCTCATATTCAGACAACATATCCGAAAACTTCAATAATGTGTAACGCTACAACAAACCAGAGTTCTCGGTCATCTTCAGCAGAAATTCAAGGTGTTAGATTGGAAGGCAGATGTCTGTGGAAATTTTTAATGATAACAGATAGAGTTGTGGACCACATTATTTGAGACAACTAGTAGTTTCACAATCAGAAGTCGGTGGTATCTTGGGCAAAGCCCATGAAGACTTTGGTCATGGCAATCAAACGTAGATACTGGCGGCCAGAACGAAAGGAAGACATACGTAATTACATCAGAGCTTGTAAGACATACAAAATGATTATGAGCACAAAGGACAACTCGTGTCCCCCATCAGTAAATATGAATCCAGGCTACCCAAACGAAATAGTGGGGATCGGCATTTTGGGACTAACCAAAAGGAGAAACAAGTATATTTTAGTAATGACTGGTCACTTGATGAAGTGGTGCCTAGTAGTGTTAGTAATACTGTAAGTCATTAGAAGATCACTTCTGAGACATTTATACTTAATTGGGTCACGATCAAATGAATTGATCCGTTCTTCTTAACTTTTGCATTTGAGTCTCCATACAGCTTTCGTGGCTCCCCTTTGGATATGTTTTGATGTACTTTTGTCCCTTTGAAGTGACAGAGGAAACGCTGTATTTCTACATTTTAAATACGACCGAATAAAAGTGTTACTGATTAGGTGAAAACCCCTATTGTCGAACTTGACAAAAACTCTCTTCAAAAGTTGACATTGTGAGATTTGCTAGTTAGGCATTTTCATCACAGTTAGAATAAGACTTTAGAACCAGGACTCTTAGATCTCTCTGAACTTGAGACATATCCAGAGGGGAATCATTCAGCTTATATGCGTAGTTTACATCATATCTCACACGGCCTAATTTTTAACAATTTAGGTTGATTTGTTAAGAGTTGACCTCAAACAATTAAGTTTATGTCGATGCAATAGATCTCAGGTACTCATTGACTTATTTATTATAGGCATTATATTTCCTATTATCTTATATTCGATGTTGAAGGTCTTTATGTGTTTGGACAGGCAATCCCATGAACCACTGAGACTATTTCGAGATCTAAATAAAAACCCATTCACTGTTAGTCTCATTTCTTCTATCAATAGAACGAAAATTATCTACTGGCACGAAAAATTACTATTTCAAGTATTTAAACTTAATCCGTTATTATCTTCCTAACTTTGAACTAAAATCAAATCTTCCCGATGTGTCTGCTTGTCATCTTGATCTCAAACTTCTCTTCAATGCTTACCAGAGTCAGCGAAAATTAATTAATAATAACTCCTAAAAAAGGTCAATTATATGGATTGGAAAGAGAAGTCCTAGAACTGAGCCCCAGAAGAACATTTTGTAGTCTAAGAAAAAGTCAAGTTGATTCTGACCTTGTAGAGTCGGCAGCAGGTTGGTTGTACAAACATGCTCTCTCCCGGAACCATGTTGTTGGAATGAAAAGTTTACAGATAACGAGTAATAATACGGACCGTCACATATCAAAGGCTTCATAGTGTCCTGGGTTGTCGAAAGGATTGTTTCCCGCCAGTGACTTGAAGGTTCACTGAGTGAACCCTCGTAGAAAATTGTTATGATGTACACTAGCTTCCGACTGTCTGGAACAATGCCTTGGTTTAAGGTGTGCTAACATCTCACAAACTGGCATTTCTGAAATTAAAGCCAGTTCTTATATTGATTCTGTAGTTTCTTGTGCATCATTCCAGAGCATAGGTTCGCTCCTTAAACTCCTCTCGGGTTAAAGATGGAGCTCTCTTTGATGTGATCTGTACACAACATTTGGAATCTTGAAAATATTATTCTCTCAGGAGCTCTGTGTCATCACCTCCATTGTTAATTAAGCCAACAAAACCTAACAACTAGGAAACTTTGGCTTTGGCTTGTCGAAGGTGAGCTGCATGACAGGATAAGCTTTTCGGATTGAAGACAAATTTACCACTTAGCTTAATAAGGTACTTAAGCCTATTTTATCGCCCTTGTGGATCGGTCTCTTGCCAGTTTGCACTAACTGTATGTGCTGGCGCAACTAGTTCGCCTGTATTCTGCCCAGGAGTAACCTTTGGAATCCTAGCATTTGAAAAGTGTGACGCATTGTGATTGTACCGGCGCTGATTGGCTAATATTTCTCAAGGTCACTGAAGGTTCGTTCAAAGGTGGTCCATAAATTAGAGTATCGCTAATTATCTTTCATATCTATATGTATATTCTTCGAGATGGGTGAAGTTGTGTGAATATTTGATGGTATACCAAACAGGATCATAGATAGTGGTCTTCCATGCCACTCCTTCTGTAATTGCAGAACAAAGATATGCCGGATATCATCGACTTCTTTTCTGTGATTTTTAAAGATGCCCGTGCTTCAGATAACCTTATCAAATGAGTATTATTAGAGTTGCTGAGTTTATTCTGTTTTGTAAGCTCACAGCGTTCGTACTTAAGCAGTTGATGCTTTCATTTTGAAAAGTGATAGTTTCCTGAAGCTTATGTTAATGGATGGGCAACTTATCTTCACAGGAATTTCAAATTGGTTGGTCTCTGTTCAGGAGCAAAGACGAGGTGGGTTGGATATAACGCTCTTTGAACTTCATTCCCCCTGTCGTCCTTCTAGGGTTACTACCAGTCCAAGTCCCGGATAAGGATGGGTTTTGGGGATGTGGTCAGCAACTTCATGCTGTAAAAACACAACGTCGTTAAAAAAACACCAACCAAGAGGAATCACTTAAACCATTTTAACTTTGTTACAGAAGCCGAAGGATTTTAATTTAAAGGAATTACGACACCTTGTGATTAAAGTCGAGATTCTTCGGAAGTCACTAGACTGATGTATTTTCTAACGGCATATCTTTATGAACAAATATAGAAACGATTAACATACTCACAAGGGATGTCTGAACTATGTGAAAGACCGGCTGGTCCAGTCAAATGGCTGTAGAAAGGAAGAGACACAACCTGGCAGTACTCGAAATAAGTGGAACCCGTCAGGTTCAAACTGTACAGAAAAGGTTAGATTCAGGAGAGGTACTGTTGTGCTCCGTTTATGAACAAGAAAGCGCCTCACACACACAAGGAGCCACAGTGATTTCTTTATCATTATTTTAACACACAGATATTGGTACAAGGAGGCACCAAATACATATGCGCCACACAAATATCATTTGATATGTGTGAGGGCTACGACATTGTCTGGGTGTCCAAACCGAAGCGGGTGATTTTCTTAGGGAACACACCCGAAGCCTTCGACCTAAAGGTCTGATCCACAAGGCAGCGGAGCAACGTCAAGAGATGAAGTCCCATGGTATCCGGTGACCAACGACTGGTTCGTACTCCATTTGTCCTCTCAGGATCCTGGAGCCAGTGTGCACCATTGGTTTGGAATCAGGGTTTTCCAACTTCCATAGGCAGACTCTCCATGTTCACCAACCTGGTTAAAGCGCCGGACGTTCGCTTTTCATCCTCTCAATTTAGTAAACAACATCCCCGTCACGAGAAGGCAGTGATTGAATGCACGTGGCCATGTGAGAGCATTTCAAGAGGGGGAACTGACCCCCCCACTCTCGGCCGTACCAAGGCATTTGGGGGCTTTACGAAGAAGCACGGAAAGAACCTAACAATCTCGATAGGAGACCCAAACAACAGAGTCGGAATGGACAAGAGCAAATAATACAAGTCATTCACCGAGAGTCAAGAACCGTGAAACTGGTGAGTAGATCATGAAAAATAACTCTTGGACAGACCAGCCCAAATAAACCTACCGGATATCGAATCAGCAAATACAGACCTTCTTACAGATCTCATTCCATTGTCTCTAATATATCAAGATGCACTTGTTTAAAAATTGACTTAAAAGTGAATAAGTCTAAGTAGTCTTACCTCGATTATTCCATCAAAAACGACTCTACTTAAATAGTACTGAACATAGTCTGCTCTGCTTCTCATCCTTTCTTTTTACTCTCCTTCTCGGCATCCTCGTGATATGACGTCGAAAACATATGTGGAACATGTGACTTTCTTATACCTCAGATTTCTCAGGAGCTGTTCTAGGAACTTTTGACTTTCTGTGGATTCATTCTTAACCATCAATTGCGCTTCTCCACACAACCGTCATAAAACATGCCAGTTCGAGTCTTACTAACACCGTTTATATTCATATGTGAGAAGTGTTATCCCCCTGATTTTCTGACCAATGTGCATTGCAAAATATCGAACTGAGTAATCTAATACAGTGAGGCCTGTATCATCTGTAACAATTTAGTCTTGCCTGTAAACTGGCATGTCACATGCAACATAATGTTATTTGAGAATATATGTTATTTATTTCTTTACGAGTCGAAGTAATGATGCCTGAGTGATACTTTGTCCAACTGGTACATACACCTAATAAACCTCATTCGTCACGACAGGAAAAATATTCATATATGTCATGAAACAATATCCTGTCCAGAGCAAAAAACCTGTTCAATACAATTTGCTCAAAACATGAGCAATCAACTCAAAAACGGTGATCACGTAAAGATAAAACAAATAATTACCAGTAAATAATAGCGAACGTCCCTAAAATCAAACAGAAAACGTGCTTCAAAATCAATCTCATGAAACAGAGGCTATTAAATTGCAAAGTACCAACCAAAGTATGTCAGTCTAATAAGTCAAGAGCCGTGAAAACAATCTTAAGTAAGACAAATAAATACAACCATTGATTGGTTCATCAACATACGGAGTATAAAAACGATTCGAAATATTTGGATGATGTAGTAATAATTAAAATTAATCTCAAGAATGGTAATTAATGTGAAAAATACGGACAACAGCAAGAGAAAATACAATTGACTAGTTACAAGAAAAAACAAACGTAAAGGAATTTTCTCCATATTCTCATATGAACGTACAAAAATAGATCTTACAATATGTATCTTCGGAAATATGTGTAGAAAGGATGAATTTGTTCGTTATACCATTAATATTGTATCCACCATTGCAAAGTGTATAGATGCTCTATGAGTGCACTTCACCAGAGAATGTTTGTCCTAGTTACTAAATTAGAATTTCTCTAGCTCCACCCTATAAACATTGAACGACATGATACAGGTAGTCACCAGACAGTACCCACCGTGTTTTTCACGGACATATGCAGTTAATAGCTTCATTACGCCGCATGTCGTGTTCATTCAAATCCCGATACGTTAACTGTAGTTACATTCCAGGACATCCGTGAACATGGTATACCTTCTAGAATGCTCTCGTACTAAAATGGTATTTCCTGAAAGGCTAAGAATTTGATCAGCTGAAGTGAGCATACTTTCTTTCGGGGATTGGCAAGCAGTCAGACTAACACGTCTTCGTAAGTCTAACATGTTCTAAGTGTTACAAATAATTACCTTTTTAGAAACATTCCTATGTTGTTTCTGATACCTAGTGTAAAACCAGTAGCCCCTTTGCAGAAACAAATGACATAGACAATGTGAAATCGGAGATTCTCGACTTCTAAAATAAAATAAAAAATATTACGTAGAAGTCATACCATTGTCTACACCAACTCATCGTATCATAGCAATCACCAATACATGATGTAGAACAAGCTTAGGCTAGAGAAAGAACAATATATTTAATATGAATGGAAGTTATAAGATAACATTCAACAAAGACCACACCTGCATGGCCGAGCCATGTCATTCGATCAACTCCAATTAATTCAATTCCTTGTTACCGCCTTCTCCATCGTTAGGTATTTCTCCGCGTGAAATATTCAATATCTATTTTCCGAGTAGTTATGGTCCAGTGCCACTACACTTCTACGAAGTTTGTGTTAAAATAATTATAATACTTTATTCTCAAATAGCAGTTTGTTACATGAGGCATGCCAGTTTACAGGCAAGATCAAATTGTTACAAAAGATATAATACGCACTGTGGTAAATTACTCAGCTGGGTTGATAATTTAAAAGATATGAATGGAGATGATTTTAGTCAGTATCACAGTTGACGCGCTTCATGAAAGTTGCGTTGCGAATGTGCGACTGATGGTCAAGGATAGGTCCATTGAAGTTGGGAGCTTCTAGAGACCGCAGCCTTATGTCCATTTGGAATATCTAAGGCTTTAAGGATGGTGCAGGATGAAGTCACCCGCTCCATATCTCAAGGGGGCTGAAAGAGGGAGAAAGTAAAAGAAAGGACGAGAGGCAGATTAGCCAATATTCATGAAGAAATGTTTAAAGTATGATTACTCAGTCCAATTTTTTTCTTAAGGTATTTGTTAAGAAAGAGCATTTTAATAGGTTAAAGAAAATAAGTATAAACAAAGTATGAGTGGACATACAACTGACAAAGGGGGGCGATTCAGAAAGGAGCTAAGATTATTGCATCATGTGTGGTTATAAAATATAGTGCTAAAAACAGTATTGTGATATACGATTGGATATCTTCTTTTTTATCGAAGCTATTGGAGCCTTTTTCATTTTTTTGCATTATTATATTTGTTTACTTTTTTAGGTATTATAGGATTTTGAGTATGCTTCGTATATTATCGAATTGTCTAGTTTGCTTGTAATAGGATTACTGGGTAGGAAGTGAAACCAATTCAACGTTCGTAACACGATTTAATGAGGTATTTTGTATGATAAATTAGCATTAATACCTTAAGTTCATGACATCCTACTAAAGCATAGGGAGCCGTAATTAAACAAAATGTTCTGCCCTACAGACATGGGTGGATTGAAGTTATCTCCCCACCATCATGTTTGCTGGTCAGTAACTCATCTAGTTCCTGTTTTGATTCAGTTTTAATATATTCATAAGACGAATTAGTTTCTTTCAACGGGGTTCTCTTAAGATCATCATTACATTCTTCAGTTTTGTTAGGTGACGAATAATTTCGATTATTAATACTAGATGGTAGTGTACCAATAGATACACGATAACCTTTATCCTGATAATTTGCACAAACCCAAGGAAGACTACCATCTATAGACTCTTCAAGCTTCAGTCGATGACACTCAATATGAAAGCCTTTGTCATATGCATCACAAATAATTAAGTCACTTTTTTATTCACTACTATTACAAATTGTACAAGTTTTACAATCTGAACACTGCCATGGAGATTGATGTGCACGTTCTGTTAATTCTGGCCAATAATCTAAACAAGTTGGGTGAGCGTTAAGGCCACAGTCCTTACATAAAAGAAAGGATTCTTCACATGTTGGTGGACCACCACAACAATAGCAAATAGAACCATCTTTCTCTTCCTGTTTGTCGACTGTATCACAGTTTGTGTCCGACATGAATGAATCAGGTGTTAATACATTATCAGGTTTTAAAGACATAGTTAACTGAGGATCGGTAAAATCTTGCGATAAATTCGATGTATTAGAAAACAACGGTGGTAATGATAAGCTTTGAGATAATGGAAAAGACAAAAATGGAGATGAAATAGTCGTCATCAGAGAAGAATCGATAGATATACTTGATGCTGCAGAAAAATGGGTAGGTAGAATAGTTCCAGGTAAGATATTTGGACAATTACTACTGGAAGAAGCAAATACAGTGATAAAAGAACTAGAAGGTAGAACTGGAATTGTTGAAGAGAATGGAAGTACACTTGTTGTATGCGAAGTAAAACATGGCGTTGGAACTCGGTTACTTGAATTTGTATCATATATATATATATATATATAAGGAAGAATTATTTAATCCATTGCATTTATTGGAATCTACTTTACCTGGAATAGTTGTGTTTCCGTATGCAGTCGAAGAATTTTCAACTCTTATTTTTTTCACATGGATTTATCTCACTAGAAATTTTCTTAGCTTCTGAACCCGGTGAGCGTCCTCTTTCACCGAAACTCAGTGGAGGCATTGAAAAATTAGGTGTAAGCGATGAATTTACAGGTTTTCCATTAGTGGTATTAGAAGTTTGTTTAGCTGCTAGAGGATGAAGTCGTGTAGGTGTAATATTACGGTCAACTGGTCCGGATTCGCTAGTCACTTTAGTGCATGATCCATTGGAGGTTTGGTAAGCAACGGATAAAGTATTTGGTGGAAGTAGCTTTTTATTAGACAATAGTGGTGTATGCATATTACTACCATTCATATAGGCCTTTTTATGTTCTCCTGTCTCGTCTAATATATAACGTCCATCTGATGTTTTAGCAAGTTTCCCAAGAGTAGTTTGACGATCGAGACAGACACGAAGAGTTGCTCCGGTTAACTTCGGTATTGATTTAGGTGAACCAGTTAAATCACTTAAAAATTGTAAAGCTCGTTCAAGACTGTAACCACCATTTGGTCCTGGTTGTGAAAATGGGATTAAATTAGCACATGACTATGTTGATTGACTTGACAAATTACTTTCCATGAGACTACGAATAGCATCAACTAGTTTATGACTTACACTAGGCAAATTAGTATTACCAGTACCGGACGTCGCTGCTGTTTTACGCCATTTTGATGGATTCCGATAGCTTAAATTACATTTGTAATCGACGCATACAACTGCTCCAGCATCAGCAAGACGTTGAAGGCATAAATGAGTTTGTTTTGAATTTATGTTTTGATGTTGCTCTGGAAAATTAGCTGATCATCTGGCGTGAACACTTGAGTTCACGTTTGTTTTCCAACGTGTTGTTCTCAAGATAACGAAGAAAAATGAAATTTTCTTGTTAAATGGCACCGAAGTACAAATGGTAATTATGGAATAATAAATTATTTACCGTTCAACCTCTCTCGTGTACATGACTTTCAGGAATATTTGGAACGTACTGTTTGGCACATTCTAAAGAAATAATGATAGATTAACTCTCCACAGGACGTTATGTATAATGTAAACTAAGCACAAAATATGACAGGCACCTATAACGTTTGTGTTTAATATGACTGCTAATAGCATAGCTGTCATCCATATTAAACCTTCTGGCCGGTATACCAAACAACACACTCACAAAAAAGGATAAAATCTCTCCAACAAGGTCGCACGTCTTACGATCTACAAGTTTAAGGTCTACTGGTATCGCTCTAATTAATGCATCTAATGCCACAAACTGATAGAGTTTTGTTCTATTTTTATTTAGTGATGCTGTCGATTCTTGTGTTGTTTATAAACTGGCGAGCTACGTTCTTCTGATCCCTTGTTCCGATGAAATAGTGTTGCAACCGACCGTCTACGTCACCCGGCCTCTATGCTTTGTCTCCAAACTAAAAAATGTTTTCTGCGAATGTTTTACAACTATCTATTCAACCAACATTAGGAATACTATTGGACGAACCTGGAAGTTTTGATCACTTAAACATTTGGTGTTCTAAACATTCTTGAGATCGTTTGCCACGCGAAAGGCGTTGAGGAATGTTTGTAATGTAAAAATCAGAGTTCGAGCATGTATATCCGCTCTGCCACTTATCACAGTCTTCAGTGGTAAGGATAGGAGATCAGTTGACTCATATTGATCCTTGCGATTTGTGGTACTGTGAAGATCGAATCTGGCTTTGAAGTTATCAATAGAAGGTGCTGATATTTCATTCTCCATGACCACAGGATCCATCGATAAACTGCTATTATTCTCATGAATTGTTAGTCTTTCATCATAATCGGTGGAAAACACTTTATTAAAATATTCTAATAAAGCTTTGACTTAAGATATCCGTGATGAATAGCTATTTGACGTATGTGGTACTAATCATTACATAAACGGGAACGTGATCTAACCAAGTGTTTTTTTAAATATAGGACATGCTTCTCCAATTAATGAGTTAATGTTTACTGACTAGACAGTTATTACATCGCATCACTGGATGACCGATATTTTACCTTCCACGCATTCGGATGAGGTTTATTCTGATAGTATGTTATGTCACAAGTGTTGTGTCATACTGGCTTTATATATCAACCAAACAGACCGCAACGCACCATAAAATAGGAAATAACATTTATAGGCAATAAAGCCAAAATGTAGCTATGAACGTGGGAGACAGTAATTAATAAACTGAGCATAATTTTAGAACAGTAAGTCGTACAATAATAATCTATAAGTCAAAATGAAGCTTATAATAAGATGAATACAAATGTACACAATCAAGTAACTGAATAGTTATACCATAGGAATATATAGATAATATTAGTCCATTAAAAGGTCTCAGAAGTTACTCTTAATTTAGTCTTCGCCAGGATATAATATCCCCATTTTGAAGATCCGAAGTATAGATCCTGAGCTTTAAAAAGCATGCGTAACTTTAAATTATTTCGTGGAGGAGGATAATGTCGAATCTTCATATCTCCAGTTTGCAAATAATATGACTCTATTCAAATCATGTTTCTCGCAATGAATTAAGAATTTGTAGTGTCGGTTATTATGTCAAGCCCATATGTCTTATTCTAGCTTTCGGACAGCCCAACCTATTCATCCTACTTGAGTCACAGTCTGACCTTGTTAATTATCCGCTTATCAGTCTTGTTTGTTTTTATATGAGCGTATATGTGTGTGTACTCTACTTGTCCCATTACTCATCACATGTCTGTAACCTATTTTCATGTGACTATAAATATTGATTAACACGTGGTTAAATGGGAGGTTGGCCTACTCGCCATCTCTACTGTGCATCGTTTTGCTTCTTTCTATTCCATTAGCTTCATATCCAAAATATATGTATTCAAAAGTCCATTTTCGTTATTTGACTTATATTATTCCGTTATTGACTAACGCGATTTAAGTCCATGATTACATATGAGGATAAGTGATATATATATTTCCAATATTCTTCTCAATTACACAGACCCGATTTATTATTTTTAATATTCTACTATTATTATTCTAAATTTTTTCTTTAAATATTTTATTTTATTTTTTAAATATGTCAAGTATAATGCTAACATTATTGAAAATTGTGTATTATTGCATTTTCTGAAGAAACCCGAAATGGTTTCTTCACAACACTTATGTACCCATAAGATGTTTGTGAATAATAATAATAATAATAATAACAATCATTCATACGATCAACTTGGAGTCAGATCCCAGGCCACTAAAGTGGAGAGCCCGTCAACAAACGTTGTCCGATCTAAATGATGGTGAAGTAAGGGGCCCCACAAATCTAGTAGAAATGGCTAGATGGCCATTTGATTTGAGGTAATCAGGATTTGGTTCTTCTGGAACACTTTCTTCAAATTCACTACGAATCTCATTAGTGGATTCTAGGTTGCTAGGAAAATCAACATCTAACAAAATTGGGCTAGATTTTTGACTATAACTTGGTTCGGCCGACATATCTATCTCATTTTTATAAGAAATTTCGCCAAAACTATGTGCATTATTATGAGAACCCATATCTAGTACATTGTCATGAGAGATTGGATAAGTTGGTTCAATATAAAATTTTGTCTCCCAGTGTTTTGCGTGCCATTTGGTACAACTAGGTTCATCGTACTGCTCCAGTTATTTTCTGGATATGAGTCCACACATCTTTCTGGAATAATATCACATGGACCATGAATTTGTTCTAGCTGAAGTTTATTTTCCGAGTTAGACAATGCCAATAGAGCTTCATTTAGTTCTGGACTCTGAACTTCATCCACTGGATTTGTTTCTTGATCATTTGGTATTGTCGCAATTTCTTGCGCATTTGGCAAGATAATGTTTTGCTGTGAGCCGGACAATTTACCAATATTACATTTTGCGTCAGGTATAAAGGGATTTGAACCCTTCACAGGATATGCTTTTGAAATGTTCAGAACTGCACCATTGTCTGCATCATAAATAGATTCTTTATTTTTTATGTTCTGAGATATCTCGTTGAATAAATAGTTTCCACAAAAAATTTTCCAGGAGTTGCTGCTGTGTAGCTAACATTTGCTGCTGATGCTGCTGTAATATTAACTGCAACTGTCGTAAAGAAATCGCCATTTTTACTGCTAATATTAACAACATTGACTCCAATATCACCGGTTTATTTTTTTCAAATCTACGCCACTAATTGTTTTATTATTTTTTTATTCGCCAAGCACCAAATATGAATTAAAAGACATCATGGTAGCGATTTGCTAGCGCTGTGAGAACATTTGACTAGTCGAAACCTTCCTTTTTATTCTCTCTTTTACAGACATATCAAGTCTTAGTCGAATGTTGGTCTTATCGTAACTTGGAGCACTAATTGACAAGTGATTTCATTGTTTCGCCGACTCTAGGATTACCCTGAGGAGTCTATGTGATCTAAGTCCATTTTTTTGGTCTTCTTATTCATTCCTAACATTTTTATGAGTTACTAAATATTTATCTGGTAAGATGCTACGAATAAATTCTGTAACTTTTTACAAAACATGCGCGAGTCTAATTTTCATGGTTATTTGGTCCTGCCAAATTATTCGCAATAATATTGTATGACATCAAGTTTTTTCTAGCACACACTAGGGTTACGTACGGACGTGCCTTGGCGGTATATTTCATGACTCACAATGAAGTCCTGTAAAAGGTTTATCAACTAAGCCGATGCTGATCGTGTCTTTTTTCATTGTCTCAGCACTGCCTTCTACTTCTCGTCAATCGAGACAGTCACATTGGGACTGCTATGGACAGTAACGTTTTTACTTAGGTCTTCATACACTACTTTAGAATCGCAACCAACAATATCTAATGATAATTCACTCCTTGTTTGTTTCAGACGAGATTTCACCTTCTCCTGTTTCTCAGGAGGGTGTTTGGCTCATTCACAACACATACTACGCTGGCGCATTTTTCGCTGCTAGTATTCATGTTACTAATGCAGACATCATCAACTTTCTTGTTGGTCAATGTCAAAAGACCCACCATCTCCTTCACCAGCAATGAATCACTCAAAGAGCAAAACATGCGAAGCCAATGGTAGTTAGGCTCGGACCATCTTTTGTAAGCGGTGGGAAATTAAACAGGCACTCACCTGATAGAACCACTATTGGTACTGTGTGGTCAGCGGAACGTCACTTAACCCTAGCCGAATCATCCGAGAGTCAATTCAGTGAATATTAAACAGTCCAACTACCCACATCAAAGTCAACGACAACAATCGATCATCAGGCACATGAATTGGTCCATACAGCAGTGTTCGTATTCTGTTCCTTACCCCTACTCTTATTAATACGCTTTTTAATAACGTCTTTTGCGTTGTACGGCCATCAGGGTGATCATGGTGCCTGGATGAGATTAAAGGATCATTTACGTTATTTACTAACCGCGAGGTGTGACTTCGATGTTATATGGTTGGTCATAGCATCCCCGTTTAACTCGAGTATGCCCCATTCATTGAACATGGATAATCCACGCTATCAATCTACAAAACTCATCGCATACCATTCCTTCCCCCACAGAGAAGAAACAATTTGGTTATCCACGCTTATAGGTGCAGCCGACCACTTTAAACAGGTTTAATGAGAAAACATTCAATAATATACACAAGATATTAACTAGTATGAGAACCAACTAAAAAAAAGAGTGCCTCAAAACGGATTTTTAGAAACTTTCAAACCTTAACCGTAATAATTCGAATCAAAGTAAACAGAATATGCTTTTGATGCAACAAAAACTTAATGATTTAAGCAAAAACCACTTTATCATATAAAAGCTATGGAAATTCATTGAATTGACTTATGAAGTGTGAAATTAGTTCAAATTTGCCATTCATATAGATTGAAACGTGTAAGCGACTTTCTTAACTAACCTTCAAGTGCGCAACCACTAATAAAGAGTGCTGCTGAGTCTTTGACTAGTTTTAGCGGATTGTGGTTCTTTAGTTAGTGAGTACGATATGACTTTCAAATTTTATCCAGGAAATAGGATGTAAATGCCCATAATTTCCCTATATATGAGCCACAGTTTGACTTATTCAAATCAAATCTCCCAGTAAACCAACTAAGTGAAAATGAGGTGAGACCATAACTTATGGACGACCTTTGAACGAATCTTAAGTAAGCTTGAGAAATATTAGCCAGTCAGCAAACAGTCAGTATAGAGTAAAAATATGTTATATAAAACCAAGAAAATAAAATTGATACGCTTCTTATAAGTGGTTCAGAAACTTGTCAAAGTTAGAAAGAGGTTCAGAGGTTCTAGAATCGTAATGCATGCGGTAGAGAAAATCACCCATATGGCTACAGAATAGCCGGCCTCCGCAGCCATGATAAAGTCTCAAAAACTCTTTCACTTTCGACCACATAGCTTCAATATTGTTTATGTGCACTCCGGTTGTTAAGTACACAAAATACCACTTGTAGGAGTTTGTACGCTCTCCAACCGTCCGTGTATGTTGTAGTACCTGGCTGCAGCCAGTGTTACTGGTGCTTTTATTATCCAGTTCGCAATAATTGTCGTAATTTGCCTTAGCTGGGGATTATATATGGGGCTTTCATCACGAACTGGCATTAGCTATAATGCCAAAAATTTATTTAAATGGATGAAAGGCTTTCGCGTTAAAATCCAAGATGTATTATCTTGTACCTGATTGGTTCGTCCACAAATTATAGACCGGCCGTTTTATTTGTTATAGCCGCCCAATCATTACGTTTTGCACAAAATTCCCTGTGAAATGATCGTACATTGGCATTGAGCACAGTGACCTTTAAATCTCTCAAACGCTTCTGATTGGCTCGTCCATAAATTAGAGTCTCGCCAACACAGTAATTTTATTCTATTTCTTACTTTTCTCAGAGAAACAGGTGGACATTTCTGGATAATATGTTTCCCCAAATTTCCTCCCCCGAATTTCAACAACAAATTTGTCGCCGAAACGTACGTCAAAAATGGGCTTATTCTGTAAAAAGCAACTAGAATACGCAGTCGACAACATATTTAGTCCAACAATGTTCAAGTTTTAGCCGAACAGTGTGTAACAAATTGAAATACACTGGTTTCAGTTTCAGTTTGGAAAGGAAGAGAGGTTTGGTGGCCTGATAGTCTTGGTAATGATGCTTCGTCAGCTGATCCAACTTCTTTTCGAAATAGTCGGTGGATGGAGCCTCAATCACGTGCTGAGGTAGTGAATTCCACTTGTTGATGATTCGATGGGAAAGTCGATAGTCAGTTGACAAGTAATTTGTCCTGGGCTTTTGAACTTTGTTGGAGTCGTCGTAAATTCTTTGTTTTGGAAAACAAAAAATGAGGGCATATCTAGTGCAAATTTATCACAACGAAATTTGAAAACTGTAATAAAGTCTCCCCTAGTTCTTCTATATGACAACGGGAACAGATTTAGTTTGGCCATTCGAGCATCATACGGGAGTTAGGTGTTCCGGGAATCATCTTAGTTGATGTTCTCTGAACCTTTTCCATAAGCTCACTGTCTCTTTTTTTGGCGGGGACTAGCCGCTTGTATGCAGTACTCAAGTTTAGAACGCACGAACACTGTATACAAAGTTAAAAACGTTTTTGCATTGACGTGCTTAAAGGCCCTACGTATTGACCATAAAGTTCTAAAACCTTTGGCGGCTATTGCACGGCAGTGTGTAGCAGTCCTTAAGTCTCGACTAACGATGACTCGCAAGTCATTGTGTATCTGGACAACAGATATCTCAGTGTATGTACTATTATCTATACCTTGATGACCGATATGAATCACAATACACCTGGAAGTATTTATCGGCAACTGCCAGGTTCGAAACCATTCAGATAATTTCTTCAGGTAATTTTGGAGATCTAAGCCACCACCCTTACTTCGTATCGCTCTCCATATCTTGATATCGTCAGCATATAGCAAGAACAATGATGATAGTAGACGAAGAAAAGCATTTACACACAAGAGGAATAACATTGGCCTCAAAACTGCACCCTGGGGCACTCCACTAAGTACAGTTTCCCAGTTTGAAAACTGAGTTCACCGGTACCGTTTGCTGGCACCCAACTAGGAAGTATTTTATCCACATCAATAGATTGCCTCCAACCCCGACATTTCTTAACTTATGAAACAGCCGGTTGTGTGGAACTTTGTCAAAAGCTTTGGTGAAGTCAATATAGGCTACGTCTATAAGTAACTTTTGGTCCTTAAGGGAGCACCAGCTTTCACAAGCCACTAATAAGTTTGTGAGACAGTGAAGATGCTTCAGGTATTCGGAGTTTGACAACGCTTTAACCAGTAACACCTTTTTATATGAGTCGTATCCACCAAGTGAGGTCAAAAGACAGAAGCGAGGAGATCCAAAGATATATTTGATAGCCCATCAATATATCGAGGATCGTCTAATCTAATCTGGCTAACGGTCGCAGGGGTTGTTGAGAATGGCGTTCCTACTCGTGATCTGGTGCAGATACATGACCGTGCACTTTCAGCTAGATGTGTCCACTAAAACAAATGTGGTCAGCGTCCAATGTCGAAAACTTCAGAGCTATTTATTTCGAAGATTTATTTACCACTACAACAGGAATAACCTATACTAAAACCATGTTGCTTATCCGAAAGGATCCGGTTTTCATCACGGTACTTAAGTAGCTTCTTCCGAATAATGTTTTCCAAGGTTTTAACAACCAAACTAGTTAGGCTAACGGGTCGGTAATTCTGAAGTTTAGATTTTATACCTGTTTTGAAGACAAGAATTACTATGGAATTCTTCCAGTCTTTTGGTAAATGACCCTGGGTAACAGGTAGATTCAATCATGTACTTAAAGGGTTCTTAACGAAGTTAGCTAATTCCTTTAATAACCTAGGGTGCATTGCCCAGTGGATTTGCCTATATCAAGCTTATTCAGCAGACCAAAGACATCGCGCGTGAACTGAACATTTGCAGTACGTAATAAAAGTAGTTTTTTCAACAGTGTTGACTGAATAGGAGAAGAGGGAAATTATTAGATATATGCTCACAAAGGAAACCAGCAGTCCTAGTTAACGGTACGTTTGTAAAAAGAAAGTTTGCATCAAAAGAATGCAAAGTTTTATCTTTAATATTATAATATTAATTAATGTCCTCAAGATCAATTAGTTCGAATGTATCTCTTAAAGAAAACTTGCATAGTTTATTACGAATTAGGTTTAGCAGTTTCACTAGCCATTCTGCTAGTGCATGTTTAGGTGAACCACACATATATAATATTGGTCGTAATGGTTTATAAGGTTTATGCATTTTAGACAATCCATATAAACTCGAGAAAACAGGGCCGGAAGGTTTTAAAATTAAGTTCTCTTTTGTTTATGACATTCATTCTAAGGAGCTTCAGTAGATTGAGCTGTTCTCTGGATTCCAATTTTCTAACATTAATATTTGATGGAACGTTTTCAAAGAACTTACTCTGATCACCAAGTATAGATGTAAGTTTTACCTTATAGTCACATGTATTAATAACAACAACCCGAGAACCTTTGTCAGGTTTGAGGATCACGATATTTGATTTACTTTGGAGGTTTTTTAAAGCAGCGAAATGTTTAGAAGTCAAAATACTTTTGTATCTGATTTGAGAACCGTGAAATAGGTGAACTATATCAACCAATTTCACTTATCTAGTGCTATTGGGGCCAGAGGGTTCAGTTAATCATAGGGATTTTCAAATTGAGCATCTGTCAATAAATCAGAAATTTTGGCATGCACGATGAAGAAATTTTTAAGGACGAATTCTCAGGTTTAAAGAGGACTCAGGTATTCGTAAATTAAAACTTCCTTATGTGTACAAAAACAAGTCGCAACCTTGAATTTACTCTGGTAATCCTTAAGCCATTTTATAACTTATGGTATTGTTACAATTTCTTATTCTTTCTATACGATGCTAATTTTCTCTTTTGTTACTTTGCTTACTTGGACCTTCATTTAATTGACTTTTATTAATTTTCATATAAAATGCCTTGGTAAGTATATGTGACCAGATTATTCGGAATGTATGGCGCAAATACATCACATTTTCCAGATTAACTCTGTCTTCTCATTGAGTTATCGAAATTTTTGTTTTTGTATGTTTATTGAGTATTTTATGTTGGTTTTACTGTGATATATAACGTCGGCTATAATGATCAAAGTAGCATTTACTGTTCTGTGTTTTTGGATATTACACGCATAACTCAATGTTTTTTTCACCTAAGTCATGCTCGGATTTTTCCCCAGTTTGGATAACCATGTTCCACAGCTATTTTTCACATAATAACGCTTTCCTTTAACACTTTTCGGTAATTTACTCTGGTACGGTGACCTAGTCGTTAGTGGATACAGCTCCCAACCGCTAAGCCTTGGTTCGAATCCCGACCGGCCCACTTCGACTTCAGCCACCGGATAGTATCATTAGCCTTCACACTTCGAGCTTGAATCATACTCAAGTATCTAGTGAACAAACTAGAAAATAAAATTGTTATTAAACAATTATATATATGATTAGTGAGATTCTCCATTAGCGAATTACACCCGTGACTGTTACAAATAACTTTGTACTGGCGAATTAATTGCGTTTGCGTGTATGCATTCGATTCCAGTTCTAACAAATCTTTGTAAGGTGGTTGCCACGGTAACAAGTTTTGATTTGAATTCTTTTAGATGTCACGTCTGTCAGTTAACCACAAGTTAGAGACCATTGTATCATTGGATACGAAAACAAAAGAACTGATTGTTGAAATCGAAAACATTAGTAAAGGAATCAATAATACGAAATCTTGTCGAGAAAAACTAGATTGTTACCAAACTAAAATTAGAGAGAATCTCGTAACTATTAATTCGATTTTGGATGAATTGCAAACGTTCGGACGTGAAACAAACATTTCATCTACAAACAGGACACTGTATGAAGCAATTGTTCAGAATAAAAAACAACTCTTTACACTGCAGGTAATGTACTTTTCACATTAGTCACCTTGTTCTATATCTCTCCAACTAAGTGAGGTTTACTATTTTTTATGCGGATGTGTAAAAATATTAGTGTAATGTATTCATTCATAACAACAGTATGCCACTAATTTCACAACGGCACCGCAATATCGTTTTATGTTTACTATATATCGCTTTATTAAATAAATCTATGGACAGATTGGCCAGCAGGATCAGAAGCCTGATGCAACTTTCAGGATAACTAGTGCAATCAGTGCTTAGTTAATGTTTGGTAAATGTATTCGAATAAAGTGTTTGGTATTTGTGATTCCGAAGCTTTATTTACTTAATGTGGTGGATTGGAAAAAAGCTATAGATAGCCAAACGAAAACACGCCATCATTCCATGAAGTCATTGACTGTTGAACTGAACCGGGTCAGAAGGTTCAGAATCACTCACAGTAATACAGGTGCATTGACTCCGTCTTCCTTTAGATTATAAGTTTCCATGGTAATTAGAAGTGTCCGAATTGATGTACTAATAATTATTTGAGGCAGGTAGAACTACATGAGCACAAATGAACGTGTTATATCTGGAGTTTGTAATCAGCACGCAATCAAGTACAAAGGAACCATCAGTTAATACAAATACCACAGTTTTTTATTCATGAGTTCATATATTTTTACAATCATAACATTTATGCTTAATCTTTTCAATTACCACTAACAATTATTACTGATATGACACAAACATCTGTTTACTGATGCGGAACGGTGCACATATGTACTGGGTTCTACGTTGCATAAGACTGACTGACTGATAGAATAGATCTTATCGAGTATTTTTAAGCAATAAGTCCCGTTGATGAATTTCGATATATTAGCGCAATACATTTCGAACAATCTGATCACACATATACTTGTTAAGAGCATTTATATATAAAAATAAAAGGTCAACTAGACTGGAAATGGGGTAAGAGGAGATAAGGATAATAATCAGAGTAATAATAATAATAATAATAATGTGAACACAATTGGAAACCTGATCACTCTGGATAATAAGTCAATATTACCAGGGTAGGTTTAAGGTAAGAACAAACTGTTTTTGAATACACAAAGGGGGTTTGAATTTTCGTATGGCTAAGGCTTCAATAAGCCTTAGTATACGCTCTTTTATACAAAACCACAAAAGCCGAGTTTAGATCAATCTTACGGCCTGTTTCAATTATATGTTTAGCAATAGAGGATGATGGATGTTTATCCTCTGCTCTTATTGGGTCACTTGATTGTATTTGTTTCTGCAGCCATTTTGGTACATGTTCACACACCCCAATGTTTAGATCACGATTGCTCCTCCCTTGTGTGTGTGTGTGTGACCACACACATTTAAATTGGGATGTGACACAATCGTTTTAATTAGATCGTCATGAGGCTTTACTCTAATATACATGAATATTTATACGAAAATGTAAACCAATCAAGGCAATATGGGTCAATAATCACAATGAAATAGAATAAGTCCTGTCTTCCTACTACAAACTTGTACTTTTACCTATTATGTGTAGAGACTTATTCTATTTCATTGTGATTATTGACCCATATTGCCTTGATTGGTTTACATTTTCGTATAAATATTCATGTATATTAGAGCAAAGCCTGATGACGATCTAATTGAAAACAATTGTTCGCTTATATGTGTTGTTCTAATTTTCACAATGGGAATCTTTAATAATCGTTTTAATGTCTTTTAGGTTTTGGTTGAAGCATGCACCTAGTTCTTTGTTTGATAATGACCCTTGCTGCGCAATACGTTTTATTGATGACTAGTTTAAGTCTGTTTCAATAAAAGGCTATTTGAATCACCACTGAATGATAAGGTGATGTAGACAGGCTTTGTTTCTACCGCCCCCGAACGCCCTGGTACGGCCGAAAGTGGGGAGAGTCCGCTCTCCCTCTCGAAATACTCTCACACGGCCGCGCGTATACAGCCACTGCCAGGGAAGTCCTACTCATCGCCTTCTCGTGGCGGGGGTATTGTTTACGAAAATGAGAGGACGAAAAGCGAACGTCCGTCGCTTTAACCGGATCACAAACCAATGGTGCACATAGATTCCTGTATCCTGCGGGAACAAATAGCGTATGAACCAATCGTTGGTCACCGGCTACCATGGGATTGCATCTCCTTACGATGCTCCACTGCCTTGTGTGTTAGACCATTAGGTCAAAGGCTCGGAGTGTGGCCACCTAAGATAACCACCTGCTTCGATTTGAGCACACTGACAGTATCACAGCCCACACACAAACGATGAACTCTATGACTACGGCAACTAATTTCCTCTCTCCGATCAACATTCAATTGATTCAAATAATTATTACTGTTATTGTCATTATTAATACCATTATTATTATTACCATTATTGTCATTATTGTTATTATTATTATTATTATTTTCCACATTATTCACCCTCTTTTATACTTATACAGCGGCTCGTCTTTGGTGGAAAACCGACTGTATCTAAACGTTCTCGAGTCACTGTTCGGTTGAAAATTGTATGTTACCACCGAATACGAGAACTGAAGCAGTTTTTCTGAAACCACGTGCACCATTCAAACTGGCTGCCTTCAACGTTCGCACACTAATGCAGGTCGGACAACAGATAGGGCTGGCTATGTCTTTGGAAAGTCTCAATATTGATGTTTGTTGTCTATCCGAGACCCGTATTCAAGACTCTGGCGAAGTACTACAAATTCGATCTCCATCTGTCGCTTCGAAAAGCTTGTTTCACGTGCGCTTATCCGGGGACCCTGTGGCATCTTCGTCTGGTCTTGCTGGCGTTGGTGTCGCACTAAGCGCTAGAGCTGAGGCAGCACTAGTCGATTGGATCCCCATTAACAGTCGGTTATGTGCTGTTAGATTAGAAAGTTCCATCAAAGTGAGAAGAAATCGGCGTGAGAAACGATGTCTTTTCGTCATCTCCGCCTATGCCCCGACAGATTGCAGCCCGGATGCAATCAAGGATGAGTTTTACCACCAGCTGTCTGTTCTTCTCCAGAAAGTGCGCTCGACAGATATTGTAGTACTAGCCGGAGACTTGAATGCGCAGGTCGGGCGTCTAGGCACAGAAGAGAGTCGTTTAGGTGGCCGATGGGGACTCGTTGGTCGCAGGTCAGATAACGGGGACCGTCTACTGCAACTTTGCACAGACCACAACCTGTTTCTGGCTAGCACTAACTTTCGGCACAGTCATCGCCGATGTGCCACCTGGCGTCCTCCCTCTGCATCCCAAGCCTGGACTCAGATTGATCACATCGCGATCAGCTTCCGCTGGCGTGGTTGTGTAAAAGACTGCCGCTCCTTTTGGAGTACCTATCTGGACTCTGACCATGCCTTGGTCTGCGCCAATCTTGCCTTACTTTTCAGTGGACAACGAAGTGACCACCACCAAAGGATTGATATTAGCAAGCTGGTTGCAACCTCTGTTGCAAATAAGTATCGAACCGAGCTAGCTTCTAGGCTAGCTACCACTCCACCGAAAAGTATAGATGAGCATTGGTTGCAATTGCATGACGCCATGAAAATGGCGGGAACAGTCAGTTGTGGGTTTGCGAAACGTCCCGCTTATAAGCACTGGGTTTCTTCTGGTTCCTTACAACTTATTGAAGCCCGTCGGTCGACTCCGGGTGACCGTGAGTTTGACCATAAACGAAGGATGTTACGTAAGGAAATTGGGCAAAGCTTGCGTAAGGACCGAGAAGCCTGGTGGTCGGAGCGTGCTAATGAGCTGGAAGCAGCAGCTGCATCTGGTAACTACCGGAAGCTCTTCCAGCTCATCCGAGCCACTGGCAGCAAGAAGTCTGGTGTGAGTGAAACAATCTGCGAGGATGATGGGATGCCAATCACTAACATCCATCGACGTCTTGGACGATGGGCAGAATTTTTCGAAGGGCAGTTCAACTGGCCTGCTGCTCCGGCAACATCGGTCAGACTGTCCTGCCCTCCATGGCCGGTGACGACTGATCCACCAAACGAGGAGGAAGTCCGCAAGGAACTCCAACTCTTGAAGCGTTACAAATCACCTGGCCCGGATGACTTACCTCCGGCTCTTTTTAAAGATGGTGGTGACTTTCTGACTAAGGAACTGACGACGTTGTTTACAAAGGTCTGGTAACTAGAGAGTGTACCAACGTCATGGAATGAGTCGATAGTTGTCCCTATCTTTAAAAAGGGTTTACGTTGTTCTTGCAACAACTATCGGGGGATAAGTCTACTTCCGATTGCGTCCAAGCTATTGGCTTCCGTCATACTTCGTAGGTTGTTCAAAACCCGAGAAAGATTGACTCGCGAGGAGCAGGCTGGGTTTCGTTCTGGTCGAGGATGTATTGATCATATCTTCACCCTCCGACAAATGTTAGAACATCGCCATACTTATCAAAGGCCAACAATCGTAGTGTTTCTTGACATCAGGGCTGCCTTCGATTCGTTGGACAGGACTGTTCTCTGGGATTGTCTATTGAAGAAGGGTGTGCCTGAGAAGTTTATTAACATCCTAAAAGCCCTATATAAAAACACCTCAGGCAGAGTGAGGGCATACAACCACCTCTCTCCATTGTTCTATACGAGTAGTGGGGTTAGGCAGGGTTGCCCAATCTCACCATTCCTCTTCAACTTTGCCATCGATGACATTCTGGAAACAGCTCTGATGAATGTAAGTAATGGTGGTGTGGATCTGTTGCCTGGAGAAAGACTTCTCGACCTTGAGTATGCGGACGATATTGTCTTACTGTGCGATAATGCCCAAGGCATGCAATCCGCACTTAATCAGTTGGCAATCAGTGTCCGTAGGTATGGTATGTGTTTTGCACCTTCGAAGTGCAAAGTACTTCTACAAGACTGGCAGGATTCCAATCCTGTACTCACCCTGCATGGTGAACAGATAGAAGTAGTCGAGAAGTTCGTGTATCTGGGTAGCTGCATAAGTGCTGGTGGGGGTGTGAGTGATGAGATCAATGCACGTATAGTGA